TTCCATCTTGAAATGGTGATAGGTTACATAAGTGTTGAGCTGTCTCAAGTTTATCACCGACACCTCTGCCTTTTTTGGCAAACAGGAAGCGGTTGAACACATAACCCGGAGTGAACATTGGAATTTGTATGATGGCTTGTCTGCGCATCAGATCCAATGTTTCCTTGGTGACAAGGTCTGCATCATGTCTGAATTAGTCTACCACCCACTACCAATAGGGAAGAATGTAGATTGAGAGGACTTACCATAAGGTCGTGGTCCAAGAGCAACCCAGGGTCGACATGTTGTGGAAAGAAGGCCGGTGGATTGCGGTGTTCCAGGAAACTGGTCTGCCCTGTATAGGATCCTTGGTTCTGCTTAAACTAACTTCTGGTAATATGGCTGGATACACAGCTCCTGGCTCTTCTGGCCCCACCAAAAACCCTAGGGTTAAATACTTTGCGCATATTTGATTGCGCTTATCTAAGGCAGTAAACATGTGTGTGTGACAGAACCGAGTTCTTTGACAAAATTGTCTCCAAATAGGAGACCAGTGGCTTGAGCGCCCGGCTCGTTCAGAGCCATATTGACCAAGTCCATGGAGAGTGGCGAATAAATGAAATAGCCGTACGTATAAGGCATTTTGTGCGTTTGCGGGAAAAAACTCCCGAACGTTATAACTGAACGAAATGCACGTGTGTGCGTTCGAATCCAGTGAATGGCAGTTGGAACAGTAAAAAGGCTCACGAAAAACAGTGCAAAAGCACCGAACAGGGAACAGATAGTCCCTGAAGATGTTCCTGAGCCCTATTTATAAAACTGGGCTCAGGGAGGTCCCGGAACACAAGCAATACACAAAAAGCTAAATTAAATTTAAATAAAACAATATAAATAAGAAAAAAAATAAAGAAATATACAAATTAATATACCAAGAACAAACTAATGTATAAATACTGTAGAAATATACCAAGAATAACCAGTGCATTAATACTGTAGAAATATACAAAGAACAAACTAATGTATTACAGCTATATTGTCAAATATTACATTTAAAAGATTTAAAAGATCCCACAGTTAAAAGAACCGTTCTTAAAGGGACCTGGTGTTACTTAACTGAGGGAGCAGCAAAGAAAGAGGAAATAGATTACACGTCATCGCCTATTATGCTGGAGAGTGGAATCTGATTGGCTGTTCCTGTCACTAGGAAAATATACCTCTCATGCTATTTATTATCATACCATTAGATGTTATATTTTTCTTTGCTGCTCAGGGAAATAAAGAAAGAGTGCAGCATAATGGAAACCTCTGTGTCTTAATAAAATCACTGCACTCTACTAATGAACAACGGGTCCTCATAGTGAAGCATTAACTTCTCATAGAGAAGCATTAGCCGAGTCTGACATCAACATACCGTGTGCGAATTGGATGGTTGTAAAGAGGAAACGTCCCTGTTGGCTTCCTGTCTTAGAGCCACTATATACATACAGGGTTAATTACTGAAGTGAGAAGTCCAGAGTAGCATAACTGGAAGCTATTAGCTGAGCTATTTAGACCTTGAATTTAAAATTCACTTTGATCTCCAGCAATTCTCATTTTAGTGAATAGCCATGATATTTTAGGGAAAACTAATATTTTACATTTCCAGAGAAAACGGGAAGCATCTATGTACCAAAAAAAAAAACTTTAGGATGAAGTGGTTTTAACGCTTATTGTGTCCCTTTAATTATATACTACCCATAAGGACCCTTGTCATTCAAACATTTTGTGGGTGACATTTCCACTGTAACATGTTTATTCTTAGTTTGCATAAACTGCATAAAGCAACTGTAAAAGTGTAACTGTTACATTTCACACAGTGCTAGCACAGTCTCTAAGGTCTAACTATCACATAGCATAAATGGTTCTGCAAAGTATCTCCAGTATAAAGAATTGCTGACTATACAACCAATAACACTTTTACAGAATATATCATGTATAGACCGCGTGTGCTGCTCATCCCCTGTTATATCCTTACATGATAATCATCAGTAGGTTAGACTTAATAGAACTGACAGCCTCATAAACTGAATTCTCTTTTATAAGCAGTACAGAGGCAGCAGCTATTAAAGCCATTTCCTACCAAAGATGAGACACCAATGGAGTGTTCTAGGTATAATAATTATTAAGGCAGAGAAAGAAAGCTTAAATCACATTGTTGTTCCAGGAATCAGAAATATGACACGTGCAGTTTCCTTTATAACCTACAACGGGGCTTCACATACTGGCATTAGAAATGGAGAGGTATGTGAGAGCTTATTATATCTAATGCATTTAATGCCATTACAGTAATATGAACGTACATGTCACATTGCTTTAGTCAGTCACTGTATAAAGTTTCATTAGGTCGGCATCATATAATATTGCATCCAAAAAAGTAACCACTGGCATAATATAGAAAATCTAATATTAACCTATTAAACACCCACTATATATAGGTGTGTGCAACCCATTAGGGAGGCAATCTATATTTTCCTTTTTTATATTTCTTATAATTTTTTTATAAAAGGCCAACAATTATTGAAAATGTGGTCTTTAGTATTTAGATTCACGTCACTCGTGTATTCGAAATACATACAATAATATTAATTGTAACCCTTTAGCTGCTGATCCATATCCATTTCATATCTTTGTGTTAAAGCCATTTTTAGTCATTTAATATCTGTGCTTTATGCTGATAGTTACCTTTAAAATTACATGTTATATGTTATAGCTTTATTTTACAATAAGATGCAAGTGCTACAAAAGTCGCCGTACAAAAAGAACTTACTGTATATTTTCTGACTATTTACATAGTGGAATGCTCACTCGATGTCAAGAAATTAATAATTAATAATAAATAAATTACTTAATGAAAGAAAGGATAAATGACAGTCTAGGGGGGTTTTAGTCTCGCAATAAACTGTCCTAAGAATCTCCAAAAATGGACGGAAGTGGAAATGCAGCTATAGAAAATAGCCAGGAAAATAAATTTACTAATTAATAATACATTTTCCTCCTTCCTGACTAACTATGGCAACATCATCATTAGTCAACACGTAAGCTGCTACAAGAGAAAAGGCTGGTGGTAGGGGGAAGACGGGGATGGTTAAACTAATTTATTTATGAATTAACTAAAGATAGGACTGTTTCTCCATATTATTGTTTCAGTCTTCACAAAAGTATTCCGATCCATGTAGCAGCTATACAAATAGCCTTGGAACGAACTTTTGCCCATAATTCACAGGAAGCTTAAACTGTTCTGCTAGAGTAAGTTTTAACTCTTGAATTGACAGAGAAGCCTGCTTTTTCATATATCTTTCCAATAGAAGTCATAATCCATCATCTCGTCGTGGAAGTGGATGCTACATCCTACATCTTTTTTTTCCCAACTGGTCTATTTAATTTCCTGAAAGGCTTTGGCCTCTCTATGTAAACCTTTACACGCCATAGACTATCTAGCTTGTGCCAGAAGAATGATTTTTTTTTGATTGCTATGAAAATGTGTCATCACCTTGGAATCCATTTTCTGGAACTGTTCTCAAGATTGCTTTATCATTACAAGACATAATGTAAAAGGTTCGTCTGATGTTAGTGTCTGAATTTCTACTGTGCATCTAACTGAAGTAATTTGAATCAGACAATAACTCTGTAACATTCCAGATAATGCTGGGAGGAAATCCCAGCTGGCATATATGTTTTTTTAGGTTTCTGAGTCTTAATCCAATAGCTACATTTAAATATTTCGTTATTATTGGGCCTCCAGCTAAGGAAAATTAGTGATAGCAGAGAAATGTGAAACTTTTAAGACTTTTTCCAGGCCTTGAGTAAGAAATTCTAATAAATTGAAAAGGTGATGAGAACTAGTAAATATCTCAGGGGATTGGCTCAATCACAAAATACTTGCCGTACTTTCCACCGAGAATGTTGAATCTTTCTAGCTTGCATCGGGTAGTCATTTACTCTTTAAGGCCTCTTTTTCTGCTTCCATGCCTTCAGTTTGAATCTTTTTATTTCATGAACAGCTGGCCCATGGCTCAAAAGATTCCCATTATATTGTTCAGATGCAGTTCCCTGAGCCTAGGAAATCCAAGAAGTCAGTTATTTGATTTTCCCAGAAGGTAAACTGCCACTAGGTTTTCCAGATGTGTTTGAACCCAATAAATAATAGAGCTTATCTCTTGAATTAACAGGGGGCCCTTCTTGCCTCATTGGAGATGTATATAGGCACTGAAGAAAGAATGTTTAGCTGTATCTTAACTCATCATCCATCTATACATTTGCTGGTAATTAGAGTTAAAATTGGAGATCTAAAATCTTGGCAGATATTTCATATCTGAAGAGGCCATATAACCCAATTATCTGTATACCATATTAAGCTTCCCATCCTTTTCTGCATTTGTCATTACAACTTTCCATTCTGGGTCTTCTCATGAAAAACCTCTTAAAAGATTGGTTTGATATCACCACCAACCTAAAGACAACCTGACATCTTCTAGGATAACAATATATTGTTCCTAGTTCTGAGTAGTTGACTGAATTCTTCTTTTTTTTGGAGTTCTCATGTACCAGTGTGCCCAAAAACGACTGTGGAAGTCAAAGTTCCCAGTAAGATCAATGGAGAGGGTACTAAAATCCTTGGCTTGTAATTGTGAAAAAAAATGGTAGGTCTTAATAGAAAATATTTTCCACTGCCTGTCAGGTATAGAGAAGTAAAAAAGACCGGAGACTCTCTAGAAGGGACTCAAAGAAGAAAACACAGGCAGCACTCAAGGATACTGATGGTGTGAGTTTATTTTGGGTAATACCACACCACAAAAGAATGACATTTCATCTCCAAAGAGCCTTAAGCATATTTACTATCAAAGTTATATGTGTATTTAACCATTTGTTAATTGGTCACATGACCCACAATAAACAATATGGCAGAAAAAAAGGTAGATGTGACAGGGATACCATCAGTATCCCGGAGTGCTGACGCTGATTTCTTCTTGAGTCTATGGTCAGCGGAATCACAGTGTCCATTTAAATGGAGCACCTCCTGGGTAGATGGCCGGCTGTTGAGCCAGTACTTATGTGCAGAGACCTTTGCTCTCTTAGAAGCAACTGTCATTTATTCTTTCGTTAGATAAGTAATTTAATATAATTTAATATTCTATTAATTAAATTATTGTCAGCTCTTAGAGTGGAGCTAACCTAATGGTAATGCTGCCATGGTTAGCCAAAAAAACAACAACTTTTTGATGCAATTTTCATAGTGTACATGGTGTACAACATCATAGGAGTCATTTCCCATTTAACATCAGTTCAGCTTCCCCCCCCAAAAAAATCAAAGTTTAGGATTTGATATTTTTGGTTTTCAATGAACCAACACTGCCCCCTCCCCCAAGCCTGATTGATTAACTCAGGAATCAATCACAGTAATGAAATACCTTAGCTAACAACTATAGGTCACCTGGTATACAGGTAAACAATTCCTATGGAAATTATCTGCTACTTAGAGGGGAATCAAATCTTAATTTGATAGAGAACCACCTTTCATAAGAAGCGTTTTTGAGACACAGGGATTCCTTTTGTAAACGCATTAGATAAACTTGTGCATTTGGTTCCAAATGAATTGCAATGTATCAGAATATTGGGTGATCGGCAGGCCATTTACATTCTGTAACTCCACAACGGCATATGGACGACTCACAAAGCAAATAAAAATGTAGAATGGACGTACCGTGTAATTTGTTTTGTGATTCCGAGTTCTGTCTGTCGTGGCAAAAAAAAATAAAAAATCAAGTGAGAAGCGACTAATAGGAAGAAAAAAAAAAGCAGTAGCAGTAGCTTTACTGATTGGCATTGTTTTATATTGATTATGTAAGTCATTATAGTGTCAGTTTTCTGAAAGTGATGTAATGCCATCTATTTTTCTAGCTTGACACACATTTACAATTGTATATCCACATGATCATTAAGTTATTTAAAATGATCATTTTATCTTTTGCTGATGACAAAGATTGCTTTGTTTTTCATTGTATTGTTGATAAACTACTGAAAAATGATCAGATAGTTTTGACTGCTTTCAATCCTTGCTTTACAAGTTTTTAGGTCTTGTTCTGTAAATTGAAGTTTAATCACACACAGGAGGCTCCTGCAGGTTCTACAAGGCTATTAACTGGGCAAGTGATAAGAAACTCATATGAGACACTCAAAGTCATATGAATGCTAAAGACACAATGAACACCAGGTGGGACAGTTTTATCGCTGTATTGTTATGTTTCATATTAGTTATGTTTCATATTGTTTATATTGTAAGCCGTTGTCCATGGATCTCTTCAATGTAGTGACTGCACCTGTCCCCCTGGTGACTGGCCATATGCTAGAACTGACTTAATAGGCTATAACACCAACAAACAGCTCGTACAGATCAGTTGCCGGGAGCGGCAACCTGGGACCGCTGTAGATACCAACTAGTCAAGAGGGAATGGTGGATGCATTAACACCTCATATACTTTTGTACGACCACTAAATTCACACTTCTCCACCCCCCACCACTCCCAACCTGAGCGGTGCACTACCGATAATTTCCTTTTAATAGTAAGTACAGGCTACATTCTCGTCCCATGCCATTACACTGGGAAGAAGCTGGGACTAGAACCGACTCCCTATATCTTTTGGTGCTTATAGCACCTTAAAACCTAGCACTGTTTTTGTAAATAGTTGATTAAATACTTTTTTTTGTTTTTTTTACTGTTTGCCTTATATTTTCTTTTTCCATATAACTACTGGAGTTACTATTGGAGGACGTTCATTCCTATTGGCATTACCATTTGATTAGTGAGCGTTGAAAAATGGGCACCCATACATCGTATCATATAATGTAAGGAGTTTAAACTTGCCCAAGAAAAGACACGACACATGACTTTCTAAGATTGAAAGCAGATATGGTCTTCTTACAGAAGACACACTTCAGGGGATCGTTGGCACCACAAAAAAGGCACAAACAATTTCCACTCTGTTATTACAATAATTTTCACAGTAGTAAATCTAGAGGGGTGGCCATTTTAGTAGGGGCACATGTTCCATTCACTTCCCTAGAACATATCACTGACGATTCAGGAAGATACATCATACATAAGGGGTTAGTTATCACATTGGTCAATATATATTTGCCAAATAAAAATCCATGCGCCTCACTCAGACAAATACTAGCTATAGTCCAAAAACACGCAGAAGAGATTTTACTTATTGGAAGAGACTTCAACATCTCTCTAGATGCCCACCGCGACAGTACAGCACCCAATCCATCTCACTCAACCTCTGTGAGACAGCAAATGCAACAGAGCCTACACATTTGTCAATTGATTGAATGCTGAAGGATTCTTAACCCCTCGACAAGGAACTATACATTCTTCTCCACACCAAACTCCACATACACGAGAACAGACTTCTTCTTAGTAGCACACAAAGATCTCTCCAGGGTGACTGACTATTCTACCGGCCAAATAATGTGGTCGGATCACACTCCAGTTTTCCTTGCGGTAAAAATCCTACATCTCCCAACTCCACACTACCAGTGGAGGCTGAACCCATTGATACTACAAAAACTAGCAAAACAAGCCATCTCCACAAGTCCTACTAATTACTTCCAAGAAAATACCACTAATGACACAACACCCTTCATACAATGGGAGGCACACAAATGTGTTATACGGGGAGAATTGGTGAAGTGGGGCTCACACCTTAAGAGAGAACATTCCAAAGCCAGGTATGGTCTCCACAAGCAAATTGCGGATTTAGAAAACATTCATAAAGACACATCTCTAAAGCAGACTACTGTAAGCTACTCTCCCTTCGGTTAGAGCTTAAAATCATCTTAAATGAAAATACTAAAAAGGCTATGCTGTGGACCAAACACTTGTTCTACTCACAAGGCAATAGGTGCGGAAGACTGTTAGCATCCACTCTTAAGAAGCAGCAACAGAAAGCCTATGTACCTAAAATTCAATGGCCTAAAGGCTCAATGGCCCACACACCAGAGTCCATAGCTGAAGTGTTTAAAGATTTTTATCAGTCACTATATAATCTAAAACATAGCACCCATGACCCGGAGACTATCGAAACATACCTAACCACTCACTTAGATACTTCGATTCCACCGGTGCTGGCCCAATCTTTAGATGAGCCATTCACACTGGAGGAACTAAATAGGGCAATTCGTTCTACCCCCTCTCACAAAACCCCTGGACCCGACAGGTTCACATCATTGTATTATAAAACCTTTGAACCAGAGGTGGCAACACTTCCTAAGCGCATTGAACTCCCTTATCACATCACTGGAAATTCCCACGTCTGGCTTAGAAGCCACGATAACAGTGATCCCTAAGCTGGGGCAGGATCCAGAATTATGTGGTAGCTACTGCCCCATATTCTTGATCAATGTTGATATGAAAATTTTTACTAAGATGCTGGCCATGAGGCTGAGACCACTTCTGCAAGACCTTGTACATCCTGATCAGGCAGGTTTCATACCTCAGAGAGACGCAAAAGAATAATACCAAGGTAATCGATCTCACGCATTGGGCTCGCCGCAATGGCGAACCATCCCTCATGCTTGCGATCGATGCAGAAAAGAACATTGACAGGGTGGACTGGTCTTTTCTCATGGCCACTGTGAAATTGTTGGGTCTTGGTCCAAACTAGTTGACCTGGCTTGCAGCAATTTACTCTACCCCCACCGCTAGGATTAAGGTAAATGAAATCCTCTCTCAAATCACTAATGACACGTCAGGGCTGCCCCTTGTCCCCCCCTCTTGTTCATTCTAGTATTGGAACCCTTACTACAAGCAGTACACAAGAATGTAGCAATTGAGGGGGGCGGAGCTTGCCGCGCTATCGCATGGACGTGTTCTGAGTGAGCTCCGTCCGAGCCGATCGGGAATCCGCTAACATCGGGCACAAACAACACGATGGGCCACCCAAAAAGAGCCTCCACTGCCCAGCACACCACCTCTAAGCAGCCGGCAACCAAATCCGGGGCGCTCACGAAATTTTTCCGCGATAATGCGGACCACCAAGCCGGCGCGCTAGGCCCCAATATGGCGCCGGAATCCCCGCACGACGGCTCAGCCCCTTCGAGCCCGGAGGGCCCAGATGCCTCACAATACCAACCAGATAGTGGCCTGAAAGAAGTGCTGCGCAACCTGCCATCCAAGGCAGACATCGCCGCCATGCTAGACAGGCTGGAGGTATCGTTCCAGACCAAACTGGAATCCTTGGGATCTGATATCCGCCAAGTGAAAGAGAAGGTAAACACCCTGGAAGACGATAGAGACTTACTGACCTCACAAATGCAACACATGCAGGATACAATCCAATCACACACAATGCATTTATCTGCCATGCACAGAATAATAGATGACATTGACAACCGAGGACGCAGAAACAACCTGAGAATCAAAGGGCTGCCCGAACAAGACCAAGAAGACCTCCATGCCACGTTAGCCGACATGTTTAACCGCATCCTGGGTCAAACGGAGGACACACCGATCCTGTTGGACAGGGCGCACAGGGCCTTAAAGCCTCGCGGTACCCAGAGAGACCAACCGCGTGATGTGGTATGCAGGGTACACTATTTCTCCACAAAAGAAGAAATACTTAGAGCCCTGAGACAAACCTCACAACCGCTACTATATCGGAATGACCCCATCCAAATCTTCCCCGACCTCTCCTGGCACACACTTCAAGCACGCCGCACACTGCGCCCTCTCACAGAAGCGCTAAGAGCCAGGAATATTCGATACAGATGGGGGTTCCCCCTCGCTCTCATTGCCACACACAATGGCAAAACGCACTCACTGGCATCAGCACAAGACATTCGGATATTCACAAGAGCTCTAGACCTTCCAGACATCCAAATCCCCGACTGGTACGGTGTCATGCCGACAGCTCCATCAGCCCCACTGCAACAGAGACAAAGGTGGCAAACCCCGGGAAGGAAGAGGAGGAATGACCGACCAGATAATTCGCCAAGCTCCAGCCCACCTACATGCACACAAAATCGCCACTAAAGTCCTTCAGCTCGCCCAGATTGTGGACCGCCATCACTGAACCGACTTCATGCTATTCCTCATCACTACCCTTCTAAATGAACTTTCTACACGCAAAGACCATCTCTGACACGTCTTCTCCGGCCTCGACACTCCCAGCAGTGCCCTCTCCCATTGGCACATC